CCCCCCCACCTGTGTGCAGGTTGTGGGTTAGACTTCCATAAGCGCTGTGCCTTCCTCCTGCCCAACGACTGCAGTCGGGCTCGTCGGCAGGTCAGCACCAGCCTCTCCCTGTTTCCCCCCCGACGGCCCCGCTCACACTCCCTGTCCAACCAGGCAGGAGGCAGTCTGGAGGAGGTGAGGAACACTCTCTCCTACACAGTCACTGGAACCCTCTGAACGCATTTGAATGCTTTATTCACAGTAACAAAAGATCATTGTTGCCGCTCTCAGGCCATTCGATTATCCACGGGACATAACGTTGTTATTTGGGTTTGTTTAAGTACAGTACTTCATTTTACATTCTTTTGTATCTTATTCTATTTGATATTCACATAGTTGACTTATTCCTGCGTTTTTGCTTGCACCATTGGGTCTTTTGCACTTTGTATGTCTTTCTTTTAAAGTATCCTAAGCATGCTGCACTGCTGGGCAGATAGACACAATGATGTAAAGCCTTTGAATCTCTGCCTCTCCAGATCAGCATGACGAAGCCCTCCTCCAGACCCCCGTCCTGGGCCGAGGCCCCGGTGTGGCTGGTGGTCGGGTACGGGGACTCCAGCCCGGCTCAGGTTCCTCACACCTTCCACATCCACAGCTACACCAAACCCACCGTGTGCCAGCACTGCCACCGGCTGCTCAGGGGGCTCTTCAGGCAGGGCCTGCAGTGCTCAGGTCAGTGGGCTGGGGCTGCAAACTGCACGGTCTAAACACATGGTGATAAGGCAAACTGGGATACAGTTACAACTGGAGTACTAAAGACAAGAGCAACTACAACTCTTCAGTAGTGAATAGGATATAGTTTAGATCAGTTACTCACTTTTTGGTTATTTACTCTCTAAAATGTCCGTATCCGCCTCAAAGAGCCAACATCACTCGACCATTTGTTGCATTATCGCACTTTAGTTTAAGCTAAATTAGCAACAGATAAATAACAAGCAGATTCCTTTGGTCAACAGCTTCCATTTGTTTTAACATACTGTACTGCTCAACAACTCTCCTGTTGCACAACATGTCCATATTGGCCTCAGAAATACCACATTGGTGTACCATCTGGGATACAATGCTAACATTTGTTGCATTTCACACTTCTTCAGTGGATAGAGCCTACATGAGCTTTAAATAACTTCCACTTCCTCATCTTGTCGACTTCAGCTATTTAAACACCACGTGTTTTAAAGCCTGTACTTTCAGGGATGGGTCATGTCATATATATTAAAACATAACGTTGAGATGCTCTGTTCCTCAGCATCTGGATTGAGCTATTTGTGGATTACAGGTTCAGAAACACTCTTATGTGTAGCCATTAGTTTGATTTGAGTTACTGCCTGGGGTGTGTCCCAAAATGAAACTTTAAACAATAATAAATCTTGTTGTTTCCTCCTCAGACTGCAGGTTTAACTGCCATCGGCGCTGCGAGCTGCTCGTCCCCAGAGACTGTCCGGGAGAGAGGAGGGCCGCCAACGGGGAGGGTGAGCGGGAGAAGTTTTTAACATACTATACTATGACTTGTTTCCAACCACTATATCATTTCTTTTTATCTTATTTTTTGCAGATACTATGCAAAACTTTTTTTTTTACATACTTATTTGAAATGCTTATCTATGACTTTCATTCATGCTATAATATAACATTTCTTTTTAAATGTCAACATCCTATGCTATGGATTTTTTTTAGTATTCTTCGACACACTACAGTACAGTATGACTTTTTTTGACATCCTGTACAATGACTTTTATTTATAAAATATTCCACATGCTTTATCACTTTTTTACATATTTGTCGACATCATATACTATGGACTATTTTCCACTATACTATGAGTGATTTCATGATATTTTTGAACATACTCTGATATCATGTAATACAAATAATCTTATTTAGTTGGAATGCTGTTAACAGCAACTAACTGTTATTCTACGGACGAAAAGTTTATTATTCCGCCGGTATTTTGCCGCGCTTCTCCTCCCGCATTGAACATCGCATAAACTCCGTTCAAACATCAAAACGTTCAGCTCGGTCGGGAATCGATGGCTATTACTTTTCTCATTCATAACTTTCATAATTCCAGAGATACATCCCATAATTCATCACATTTTTAACATTGAAGTCAATGGAGAAATTCTTCAACTTCAACAAATCTTCATGCGACTTCAACTGCTAACTGTTCATTCATACTTTCACTCGGAAACCTCATTCCAACTTTAAAATCTAACACATCTTTCTGACATTGTTCGTGTAAAACAACTTTTAAATCTGATTCTTACCTTTTAGAGATATTAAACATTGTTCAGACCTTGTTAAAGAG